AAATCACCTTTTTTGTTAAAAAGTGTAGGAAATGTCTCAGGCAACACAAATACTAAGCCTCAAAAAAAACAAAATGTGTTTGGGGAAACAGATAAGAGCCTTTGGGTAAAATAAACAACAAAGAATCAAAAATTAATTCCCTAATGTAAACTGGAGGAGGAAGAAAAAAGATTTTGCCAGTAGATTCCCATGTTCTGCCCTCTGTGTGAACTCTAAGTAACCAGGCTGCAATTTCTAATAACAACAAGAATGGAAAGTGCATAGGAAGATACTGAAGGATCCCAGTCCTTCCAACTCTTGCTAAGCAGTCAAGGCACAAGTGAACTGAATAAAAACATACACTGCACAAAGTTGCAACACTTTGTTGCAAATCACCAAAATACTTCACCACAAGTATTATAGTTGCAACAATGCAAGTCAGACCTTTACACGCCTTAGAATCACAGAATGGTCAGGGTTGGAAGGGACCTCTGGAGATCATCTAGTCCAACCCCCCTGCCAGAGCAGGGTCACCTACAACAGGTTTCACAGGACGGTGTCCAGGCAGGTTTTGAATGTCTCCGGAGTGGGAGATTCCATAACCTCTCTGGGCAGGCCATGATTAGAGCCCATGGAATGATTCCTCCTTCAAAGGTTTCTCCACAAAAATCTATGTCTTGGGGTCTCGCTAAATAATCAGGCCGAGGAAAAAAGTTTGACTTAAAAGTGCCAAGTACTGGAGAATCTATCACATCCCCATGTTAATGATTCCACAGCTTAATTATTTTTAGCATAATCACCTGTACCTACCCCGAAAGAAAAAGGTGTCACAAGACAAATATTCACACTATTTTAGTGTACTTGAATGTGTGGATTTTTTCCAGCTCATGCTGAAATAAAAAACAAATAACATCCATACCCACTGAATGTATCAGAAAAAAAGTATAAGACCTTTAGCAAAGTAGGTGTTTTGCCCTCACACAGTGTTAACAAGGAATAGCTCTACTCAAGATAGTGGGGACAAGCTGGTGTTAAAATACTGGAATAAGGTAAAAGTTAAGCTTACGACATCTAGATTACACTACATATTTTTATTAAAAAAGGGTTATTTCTAAACAATTAAGAATCATTGAATGGTTTGGGTTGGAAAGGACCTTCAAGATCAACCCCCCTGCCATGGGCCGGGACATCTACCACTAGACCAGGTTGCTCAAAGCCCCATCCAGCCTGGCCTTGAACACCTCCGGGGATGGGGCCTCCACAACTTCCCCGGGCAACCTGTGCCCGTGCCTCACCACCCACCCTCATGTCCAGAAATGTACTCTGTTATGGCAAAAGGACCTTGATCTGTGTGATTTTTAAAGAAGTCACTTGCCCCTCTAAGGGCCTTCAACTGGATCACATCGATAAAAGAAAGAAAAGTAAGGCAGGTAGGGAATAAGTCAGTTGTAGAAGTGATGCTTTTGAGGTTCCTGGTCAGTAAAGAACATGCCTTTGTTTTGTAGGCAACTGGTAGAGCTTTCACCAGACAGAAAGACAGGCAAACTATTCTGTTTACTTCCTTTACCTCATTGAAATATTTGTCACCTCTGTAAAGTCTGTTGTTCACGGAAGGTGAATGTTTTCCTGCCTCAGTTGCCATTGAGACGGATGAGCTCTAGATCTTTTCCTTTATGTTTGCAAGAGGGTGAGGCTTTATGAAACAGCTGAACCAATCTAATGTCCATCTACTTCCCTGCTGTCATCCAGTGACGTGAGCTGCTCCCTTTCACTCTGCTGGCCCATGTCTGACCTCACGTTGGGCTGGGTGAGATAGCTAAACTGGCAGAAAGCTATTCCCATTGTTCTGGCAGAGAAGTCTCTGCCAAATTAGCTCCTTAAACAAATTCACTGTGCAGTCAGGTGAGAGACTGTGCCTCAGTAAGGGCAGCCCGAGGACAGGAGGCATGGCTTGCCCCTTTCTGCAACAACCAAAGTTGGGTAGGGTCAGCTACATTCTGTAATAATAGTAGTAAAAGTTATATTAATAATATGTTTAGGTTTTTATGCAGTGTTATATCACCCATCTCCATATACCTAGCATCAAATGCCAATTTCCGAGCTAAATGTCTGAACCATTTTAACAGAAGAAATCAAAGCCCAGCATGATGGTAATGACAATATGCTGATGATCAATGAGTTTCAGACTTCAGATTTTTCTTTACAGGTGCAAAGACTAGAAGCTCTTTCAAGCATAAAAATCAGTTTTCCTTTTTAAAAATAATTTCTTCATCTGTTTTTTGGAGAAAACTAGGAGTAACGTGGGGGCAATACTGCACACCTCTAGCAGAAGCAATTATTTCCTATCAGCCAAACCAAAATGAACTTACCAGCTTTTTCTGGAGAGTTGTCTGCTACTAGCCATGTGATATTGAGAAAGCATTAGTATATGTTTGTGCCTTGTTGAACCTGAGATAAATTGCAAACATTAATTTCTTAGAAAGGAAACCATGTTCTGGGCTGCAGAAGAAGCAGTGTGGCCAGCAGGTAGAGGGAGGTGCTTCTCCCCCTCTACTCACCTTTGGTGAGACCCCACCTGGAGGCCCCAACATAAGAAGGACATGGACCTGTTGGGGCGAGTCCAGAGGAGGGCCACAAAGATGGTCAGAGGGCTGGAGCACCCCTCCTATGAAGACAGGCTGAGACAGTTGGGATAGTTCAGCCTGGAGAAGAGAAGGCTCTGGGGATTCCTTATAGCAGCCTTTCAGTACCTAAAGGGGGCCTACAGGTGAGCTGGGGAGGGACTCTCTGTCAGGGAGTGCAGTGATAGGAGGAGGGGTAACGGTTGTAAACTGAAAGAGGGTAGATATAGATTAGATATTAGGAAGAACTTCTTTACTGTGAGGGTGGTGAGGCACTGGAACAGGTTGCCCAGAGCAATTGTGGATGCCCCATCCCTGGAAGTGTTCAAGGCCAGGTTGGATGGGGCTTTGAGCAATCTGGTCTAGTGGGAGGGGTCCCTGTCCATGGCAGAGGGGTTGGAACTAGATGATCTTCAAGGTCCCTTCCAACTGAAAACATTCTATGATTCTACAAGCATGTGCTTTTAGAAAGACTGTTTTCAAAAGCACTCACTATTCCAGGTACACTAGTTTATTGTTGTCATTACTGAGATGCACAAGGCACTTGTGGAGTTATTTCACCAACTGTGAAATGAACGAACCAGTTGGGAACCGCATGATGCAAAATATTTCATTAGATAACCTGCACTACTCCTTAGTAGAGCTTAGTACAGTTTTTATTCACAACAGAAAAGGTACCACGTGTTCTTCAATAGCTTTAAATACCGTACAAAATAACACCTATTAAATACTTGGTTTCAAATAAACTGTCCATCTGCACAATAATATTAGCAGGGAAGACAAATACAGCAGCTAGAAATAGCAGAACTTGAAGAAAGCAGGAGGAAATTTAGCACCCTTTATTTTGCCTCTTTATGCAAATTGCATATATCCGCACTTCAGTAACACCTAGAAACAGCAACCAGGGCACCGTTCTGCTGAGAACCGTGCTCCCATCTGGCAAAAACCACTCCTGCCCATTGTCCTTCCAACCTAACTACAGTATTATAGTAAGGTCTTTCAGGTAGTTGGCTTTTGCAATGGATTTCCCCCAGAAGAAAACATTAATTCTATTTCCCACAACACATTCTTGAAAGATGCATCTACAGTATTCATCAGATGTAAATAATTCATGGTCCAGCAAAGGCTCAGCAAGAAATTAGCCTTTTGTGGTGCCCATGTAGGGTGCAAAACGTAGGAATGACAAAGTGAGATAATTTAGCCTTCCCTGTTTTAGAATTCATTTCCAAATGGCTGCTTTCTTGGTAAGGAGACTCAAGAAAGTTACTAAGATTCAACAATTCAAAACCAAGCTTAAGAATCACAGAAAACTCAGCTTTGCAAAAAGAGAAAATTAAGTCATATGCAGAAATGCAAAGCTAGCAGCACCAAAAAAATCTCATTTCCTTTGGCATAGAAAGGGAACAGGCAAGTGAGATGTCAGAAGAGCTAAGTGGTCACGGGCTGCAATTCCACTTCCCATCATCAACAACCAGAAGACATAAGGGTTCACTTCACTAGACAACCAGACCTTCAGTCTTCCATTAGAAAGGGAGGAACTTTCACCCGGGGCAGGTGGTGATGCTGAAAATAAAATATAAATTCTAAGAGGAAGGACACAGTAAATGACTAAAGCCCTTCTGAGACAAATGAGGGAGTCAGAAAAAGAGGGTGGGAGAAATAATGACCCTGGCACTCTTCACAGTTTTGCGAGCCATTTTATGGAATTGAACTGTACACAGCCAGTCAAAAATGCATAACATGCCTTCTTAAGTGAGATACTGAGAATACTTTCCCTATCGTTTTAATGAAGTGAATAAAAAAAATACAAAGTCATACATGAAAAAGAGAAGCAGCATAAAAGTCACAATGTTCAAAACAACTGCAATGGCAGAACCAGTATTAAGTGTGCTTCTTGCATCTAATAGAACCTTATTATGCATAATCAGAGAATATATTCAAGCAACGCAAAATGCCACATATGCATTTAAAGATTAGACAGAAAGCTCAGTGCAAAACAATACACTACCTTGTACACTGAGCCTTTCTGATGAGCAGTAGAAGAAAAGCAGAATTTCTGTTGCTGTACATGCCAAACAAATCATACTACTGTAATCTTTTTTCCAGCATATTCTTAATTTTTTTTCTATTGATAAACGGAAAATACAAGTTAACCCTCCATTCACTGACCTCAGCATAAACAGAATTTTAGCTTAAAAGTTGAACTACTAATTAGATATTTTTTTCTCAATGCAGAGCTCAGTGCACACATGCAGCTCTGGTGAAGTAAAGGAGAAGGAGAGGTAAGAGCCACTAGCCCCACCATTAGCACGGGTGAGGGGACAGAAAAGGACAGGGCAGTGCCTAAGTTCACAGCACAGAATTCTGATTTCAGCTAAATGGCTTCTCACTGTCATTTACATCAGGGTTGTCTGCCATGAGGTCATCTGGATTGTCCTTGGAAATAAGTGTAAGGCGACACATGGAGAGGCTGCAGAATTAGGAGAAGAATGAAGCACACAAAACAAAGCCTCCAAATTCAGAATAACCTTATTTCTGTATGCTTGGTACGTTGAGAGCTTCTCTGTGGCTCACGCGGTGTATACTCATTGCAATCCCTGGTGATTAATTCGTATCAGAGAATACTGCATGACACAGGTGCTCCTTTCAAAGACCAAGGGGCAGCAGTTGGTTATTTGGGGGGGAAATGGTGGTGGCTGTTGAGAACCTCTTTTTTTAACAAATAATAGTCCCTCCCCATCCACCCCACAACTGAAAAGTCAAGGAAGAAATGCAAACACGGAGTAAGGTTACTGTTTCCAATTTGCCTGTGCTTCTTGTAGTTACTCATTAACTTTCACACATATTAACCAAACAATAAAAGAGACAGAAACTGGGTTGTTTCCCCTCCCCACCAAGCAGCAAATGAAGCAAACGGTTGGTTTAGAAGAACCAAAATTGCTCGGGAGTGATGCATCTTTCCACGGACAACAGCAGTGTAGCCCAACCTAGATGAAAACTCAATGATGGATCATTACTATCGCCATGGGGCCACAGAGACAGCAAACACACAGGCCCTGAGCCAAATTTCATCTGAAAATTCCCATTCTGTAAGGTAGCCAGATACAACACAAGTGATGCCCGGAAAGAAAAACAAACTAAAAAAAATCAGGTACCTCTCACCATCCATTCTAAGAACTTCATATCCAAAGTTCCTGCCATGTCTGCTTGAGAAGCTGCATTACAAAAAAAAAAAAAAAAAAAAATCCCAACCTAAACAAAAAACTCAACACACACCATGAAAGACCAATTAGTTGTAAATTCAAGCACCTGACCTATGAAAGTATTCTTTTCCATTTGTAATGCAACCCACTACATCCAAAGCAAGACCTTAAAAGCAGGTTTAACAGAGACTATGCCAACGCATAGACTTCGACATTAGGCAGATTTTGACTTCAGCAGCTCTCAGGATTTAGATTTTGCCCTAGGCACTACGTGAGGCTCTAATAACAGCTCAGGGGAGACTCCATGAGCAGTCCCACAGGTAGGAAGCCAGCTAATGGAGGAGAAGAGCAGGACTGTGATGAGCTCCTGACATCAGGGAGCAAAGGAGTAGGTGCTCCTCCTTCACGAGGACACCAAGCCAGTACAGGGTCAGCACCCACCTGAGAAAGATGCCAGCATCGCCATCGTCCAACACCACCGGCATCCCTAGAACTGCAATCAAGTAGTGTCACAGCAGGTGCTAGAGGATTTCTCCCTAATAAAGGGCTTGCTTTCTATTAGCAATGAAAGATGAACAAAACCAATACCATGAAGCACAAAACCCCCTGTTGTGACCCCTAAAATGATGCACAGTCTACAAAAGACAAACTAAAATGGACAGAGCAATGGACCTTTCACTCCCCTTTAATTCAATTCTCTTTAAGTCAGTGCACTGTTATTACCCGAGCAATGAGACTGTAACACTGAAGTTTTTCAGCTTGATGGTAAAATCATGTAGTGTCCATCCATCTCCAATAATAGCAATATTGAGACAATGAACTCTATTGAGACATCTAATAAGGCAGATAGTCATTTGCATAGTACATTTTCTGTGACTCTCTGTAACACAACATCTCAAAGACTCAATTCAGACTATTCTCCTTTCCCACAGACATTTTAAAAAAAGGATTCTTTTACTAGAAAAAGAAACAATGACCCCTCCCCATAATAGGAGAAAGCAAAAGATAGGATTTTCCTGCCTATGATGGGTGCACACTTTTATGTGTGTATTTTTATTTGGTTGGGCTTTTTTTTTTTTTTCTTTCTAAACTCTACGTGCTTTTCATCTCCATTGTGGACCGAATGCTCAGAAGTATATTTCTGATTTTGTTTTAACAGGCTTCTGAGCAGGAAGCACTCTGGGATCCCCACCCACCAGCACAGGCAAATTTCAACTTTAATTCCTGTGCCACAGTCTTTTCCTTTATCTCTTCACGTATTCCTCTCCCAAATGACTCACTGAATTGCTATTTGCTGGACGTGCCATGGTTCTGTAGATGCGCTAGCCTGCATATGAGTCCCCAATTTTAGGATGAGCTCTGCAATGTAGTACTTGGGTAAACTTGACAAATCACTTCCTCTCCAACAGACGATAATGGCCTTGAAGACAACATACATGCATATAGCGTATGCTGTGTCTCAAAGTTCAGCTCAAATAACATCTCCAAGTACTGCCGCACAGAAGTAGTAATGATTACGTCCTTCCTCTTCATAATCCTTCTCCTTCTCCTTTCTCCTCTTTCAGAAAAGAACCCTGGACTTTGTCAGTGTTTATTCAGCACAAAGAAGCACACAGATTATTCCTGGAGGTAACTAAGCTACCTCTATTTATACAGGAAGGACACACACTCAAAGTACCGCTTCAGTATATTAAAACATCTCCTGTCCTCTGTCCCTCAGCATCGTCACATGCAAGCTCCAGGAGATTTTGCTAAATCCTCCATCCCATTTCCCCTGCCAGAGACTACAAAAGGAACAATGGGAGGGAACACATATCCATAACTCATCAGCCCAACTCCCAGCCTGTGATAGGAACATTAATCCACCTTTGGCTGTGAACACAAGCCCTCTGCAGCCACCCCTGGCCAGGGTGCAAAGGAGACAGCCACTGAGTTACCAGGAAGCCCTCGGATACTCACCTGCCACGTCCCACAAAACCAGTAGTGACACACTCTTCAAATGGGTCAGGCACAAGAGTCTCCTTGCAGAAAACTGAGCTGTAGCACTGCCCTTAGGTTAACTTTGGGCAACTCAGTGTCAGGCCCCTGTGAAAATGAAACTAGATGGCATTTTTGGCAAGTCAGAGAAGGTCAGCGGAAAGGGAGAAAAAGTTGCCACACAACAGCCCAGTGAAGAACAGGGTTGCACTCTTTGTCCAAGTTTCTGATTTTATCAGATTATGCCACAGTGTCAACATTGTTTATGGCCCTATTTTGTGCCTGTGAATCACCCACTCCCAGAGACTCTTCCTCCACCCCAGTTTATAAATAGCACCACATACAGAACCGAGTTTGTGAAGCAAAGGAGACTTGCTGAAACAAAATAATGTATATCAAGCTGATGAAAATCTTTCAAAAGCCTTTCTCATTTATTTATAGAGCTGGCTAGACAGGCAGATTCTCACATTTTGTAAACCCTGTAGGTCACTATCTCCATTGCTCATTCACAAACAATTCTGCTAATAAAAACAGAAAAAACCCTCTGGTTACAACTGAACTTATTCCCCAGCACACTGCTTCTTGGCACATGCCTTTTGAAGAGAAAGATTTTAAAATAAGCAATATTATGTATTTTTCCTATTTGAAAGCAACATATGCCTAGACCAAGGATAAGATAATAGGACATTATTTACATATCTGGAGACATTCAGACTTTACAACCAACCTCTTGCAGCTCTATGAGTACAAAAAAAGCCATTTTCTACCATGTCATAGCAGAATGTGACTTAGATTTCCACAGACTGTATTCTCATAAAAAATACATTCTTGATTGCAACTGTAAAACCCAACAAGGGTTTTTTAATTCCCTCATTTCTCCAGGAATCATTTGCTTGCAATGGGAAGTTCAAAGTGCTATCATCCAGATAACAAAGCAGACAAAGAGGATATGTGACCAAAAGCTTCAAAGAACAGTTTCCTGGAGCCTGAATGCACATGACACCTTGTTGAACCAACACATAACCAGCTGTAGCCCCTGGGACCCAAACGAGCAGAGCCTGGGTATTAGAGAAACTCAAATTCCCCACCAGATGGGCTGGATGGCAAGCGAGCTACCAGGCTCCACTTTGGCAAGGAAAACCTTCAGCATTGGTGCTGAACCCCAGGCAACTCATCCCATCTTTCCATCCCAACACTCAGACATATTTGCAATGCATCAGCTTGACACCAGAGAAGGATATGGACCGGATACATGCCGGCCTAGCAAGGGACTGCTGAGCTCATAAATGCCCACATCAAACCCACACTTGCAAATATACACCACTACAATGTCCCCACCAGCTCCCCAGCCCTGTTTACCAGGCAGCCACATCAACACAAGTGATGCTGGGGCTGAAAGAAGCCCTTGATTTTTCCACCAGTCACAGAGATGTGGGTACACCAAATGCCTGTGAAAAGACATCCTGCCCAGATTGATTTAACAGAAACAGAGAGCCACCAAAATAACACTGGCATGTTCTCTTGATAAAATCCCTTGCAAATGTATAAGGTGAAAGCATTCGACTACTTCTCTATTCAATTCACCAATTTTTTTCCCTGCAATTAATCACATGGTTATTTGTCAAGCTAATGGCCCCTTAATCAGTCGTAGAAGTTAAAACTTGCTATAACAAGGCTCCTCTTTAAACACAAAGGACGAGTAAAACAATACACTCAAATGCATATTTCAGGAACAGTTAAATGTATTAATATTGTGGTTCTTTTTTTGTTTTTCTGTAGACTCAACAAAAATCAACTGTTTATAATCTTAATAAAAAAGGAAAATACTAGTGCCTGGAAAATATCACAGTAAGTCTGGACATCATTTAAGCCAAGTACATGTCTCTTTTTATTCTCCTACTGCTTATCTCAACACACAGTTCCTTTTCCTTTAGCCTCTTTCAAACAATACTTGATACTAAACAAATAAAACTAAACACCAAAATAAATTATTTCTCACTAAAGGCTCATTTCTTCTCTTCTGTTCTACATTCACATATACATGTGTGAGTATACACAGTCACATAGATATATATACACACACATATATATTTGAACTGGCTCATGCTATTAAAAGTACCCTATTATCTTATAGTTATACAAAAGCTGACTAATATTAAACATGACTTTCCGGCAGAAAGAGAAAACAAGAGAAAGGTCTTTTGCAATTAGATAGTAGCACTGAAATTCAGAAAGCCCGAGCTGTGTGTCATCAGCTCACTGCATTACTTCAGACCCTCACGCCTTGTTCTCCACATTAATAAACAGAAGCTTTCCCAGGTGGCTAAATACATTGATCTTCATTATCACTCTGAAATACTGACCAAAGGACTTACAGAAATAATATTGAACCTACCATAATCTCTTTCCGTATAAAGAACGTGTTTGTAACCACAATCTTTGGTAACATGTCTGATCAATACTGAGGGAACTATGAGATCATAAAATAGGACCATGACACGATAACAACAATGGGGATCTCCCACATAAGTTCTCACTTATGCACACAAAGGGGAAACAACTCAAAATCAGGGAGGAAGAGAAATTTAATTACAGCTGACTGAAAAGCAAGGCATATGGTTCACAGGAATTTTTCTTTCAATTAAAACACCCTCCTCCTCCTAGGCAAACTAAATACAAATTAAAACAAACTATTCTGTGACATGTATATGCAAAATGAAGACAAGCATGACAGAAAATCTGCGTGGAAGCTGCACCATATACCATGTGCAATTACAATCCAAGTTCTGCAGTCCAAGTTCTGCAAGAAACACTATTTTGTCACTATACTACACAAGCATTTACTCCTACCTATCATCGCTGCATGTAACTCTGTTTTCCCCACATTACTGAAACCCGTTCCACCCACATACCTAAAATTTCACTTAAGGTGTGGGCAGACAAGGAAAGGGGGAGAAAGTCGTAAAGAACAGGACTGAATTTTAGAAATAGACTTTTTAAAAAGATAAATCATACTCTGAAGCTTCATATTGATAAAAATGCTAAAATATTAAAACAGCCATGTTTCTAAAATAATATATAACAGGAAACAGTGTAAAAGATGGGACCATTAGGGAAGGCTTTGCAATCAAACTGACTAACAAATTGAAATTATGAAGATACAGAGAAGACTTATGAAAACTGGATACATTTGATTTAGAAACTAGTAGATTGCTACAACAAAGACTGTCCACACTTGCAGTGATAAAACACAAAAATTTTACAGAATGGGTGGAGCTTTCACCTACTGTAAGTCATAACAGGATTATTTGGCCCAGAGAAAGGAGAATTTAGGGAGGAAACGTTGTGACACCAGGCTGTGGTACAGCTCTGCTGGGGCAGCCCCTCTCACGTGCACTCAAAGATTTCACCAAAGCGTCACCACAGTGACTGCTGTAACTGAGGACACCCACGAGCAACAAGTAACCAAAACCACAGAGCTTGGCTGGGGACGAATGCCTGCAGCAAG